GAGACCCATAATCCGTCTTCCAACCGGAGTCGGGTTGCTTGGGTTGAGGCTCCGTTGCGTGGATGGTTTTCAGGGATCACCCGTACAGCATCTCCACAGGTCAGGCCCGTCTATGAAATTATGCGGATGTGGCTTTGCTTCATTCAGCCCTGGCCCCATCACCCTCGGACCCTCGAGTGTTTGGTCCATCACCCTCAGACCCTCAGGTGTTTAGCTCAGGACTTCGGGTTCGGGAGTTTATGGCTGCTGTGAGGGTCCATGTTTTCGGATCGATACCTGTCCGTCGGTACGAGCATCAGGCGCGCACTGCCTCTGAATGAAATCAAGCATACTCTGCCATGCTGGGATGCGAGTGATATGGCTCACGTCTAGACCTGCGTGTTTGATCACCAACTACTTTCCGCCAGAAGTCTGTGCGGCCTCAGACAGAGTGAGGTTCAACTTCAAGAGGGTCGGAATCCTCGACGGCCCCGTCTACACAGCTGGAGCAAAGGCGGACTACGGTTCAGGGTTCGGAAGTTCGGAATTAGGATGTATTTTAGGGGTGTGTTTCAGAGACAAATATCAGAGAAAGCCCTGAGATGCGAGCCCCCTGGGAAAAGAAAAGTAGATCCTGTCTTTGATCGAGACTGTTGTGCAGGGAACTGGGCTGCAGAGCATGCCAAAATGCCCAAACTCCATGACAGCCCATGCATCCGCACATTTTTTGGCTGGAAGAGCATATGCGGAGTCGAGACGTTGTTGGCTTTGCATACAGAATGCATCCAAATCGGCTTGGTTGTGCGAGGAGTAGCCCTAGACCCTAATCTGCGGGATGTCTGAACCGTGGACGAGGCTGCTTTCAGAGAACTTCTGGAGTTGGATACCGCAGCAGGCACCTACGACTGGACGATGCTTGGCTTTGATTTGGGCTTCCGTGGGCTGCTGCAGATTTACGAACTAGTGTTTGCTGGAAGTTGATCCGGGGTTCATCGAGAAAGCAGGCTTGAGTCCTCTTGGTCCTCTGTAATTCCCAGGGCCTGTGTAAAAAAAATGTCTTTCCATGCCGATGACAAGATTACTGCGCTAAGTCTTGTAGGTCTTATAAGTTCTCCATCGTTTAGGGTTTTAGGGTCACGCTTCGTTTTCTGAAGGTTTCATGTCTTCCTCGAAGATACTGGCTACGGTTTCATGTGCATGTGACTGAGCTGACAGGCAATTGCTCTTCCAGTTACTTTGCTTACCACTCCGCTAGACCAGGGCCTGGGCCTTGAACATGGGCAGTCTGTGACCTGTGGGTTTAGGGTTCAAGGTTTGGCTTCGGGCCCAAGAGTAGAAACCATACAGATTCATCTGGAGGGCCTATTTCCTGGACATCCAAGCTACCATGCACCCTATAAACCCTAAACCCTAAACCGTTGTAGTGTTGCGGCCGAAGGCGGCTCTGCCTTCCTACAGAACTCCCCGTCTCCTGAAGCTCTGTAACGAAGGCCTGCCTTAGGCTCTATGTTTCTGACCCTGTCTACGCCCTGCGCCCGTCATATGCACAGAGACTCCGAAGCCTGTATAGTTAAAGCGCTGGGGATGTCGAATTGGGGGCCGCATAGTTGAACACTATAAACCCGGAAACACATTTCCCCCGTAAGCCCGAAACGCCCTAAACCCTACCGAAGGGCCTTAAGGGGGAGACTCTGGAAAGCAGAGCGCTAGGCCCTCCGAAGCCCGAAACTCCGAAACCCTGAAGCTTAGAGGTGTGCAAAAAAAGCCCTGAGAGCTCTTAGCGGGTGTGCCGAAGAACCCTATGCCCTGAACCACGGAAGCGTGTCGCAAAGCCGTTATAACGCTTAACCACAGACCCTCTAAGCCCTGAAACGTCCTGTGAAGCCAGGATCCTCGTGGATCGTACCGTTCAGAGCCTGGAGGATGCCAGCAGCACCGCAGAGGACGTCGACGGGGCTGACTAAGGGCGGCTTAGAGCTTCGGAGGGCATTTAGGAAACGACCCCCCCGGATCTACTCTCTACTACCCATAGGCCCCCAAAGTAGTTCCTTTTTGGGATTACCTTATATAGGATTCTAACTACAAACCACAAAAAGGAACTACTTAGGGGCCTATGGGTATACTATATATTTATCAGTCACTTGAGGGGTTCTTGGTCGGTTTTGTGGGGTTGAAGGTTTCGAAGCTCAGATTCTTGGGCTTGAGGCTTTCATCGGTCCCTGTAGGATTTGAGATTTGAGTCCAGGGTTTGAGAATTTAGAATCAGGGTCTCGGGCTTAGATCTCGTGTTGGTTCCAAGCATCAAGTGATCGAGGGGCTAGCTATGCCTATTTTGGAGCAAATGAGCATCTTTGAAGCTTCGTAGAGATAATCGCAGGCGGCTATAGAAGACAAGCGTGGGTCCATACGATAGTACGCCCCGGGCACCATTTGGATCCATTTGGTGACTTATACTCTATAGGTCAACCTCCCCCGCATGTCCCGAGCGTCGGGTGCAGGACGGTTGGTTTTTGCTGCTTACTGTGCTGATTTTTTACGGTTGCTGTGACAGAGCGAGGACGAATAGCAGAATAGATCCCCGATTCATCTTTTTTTGTCCATTTCTACATTTAATCAGCAGATTGAACCAGACTTCTACATCATGCATGTTCGCTTAGTTAGTCCGATAGTCTCTAGCTATCTTCGGTAGATGCTTTTGGGCCCACTGCCTAGAGGCCTGCAAGCCTTGCGGCTTCTTCGCTCTGAACGCTAACCCTAATCTCTAAACCCTTCTTCTCGCCGTTAGCGTCGATCTCTGCAATGCGGGAGGGAAAGAACCCTGAATCCCTAAAAGCCCCGAGCCCTAAACCCATGCAGTTCCTCGGGTCTGCCATGCGGTAAGCCCTACACACCCTGAGGCCCTAAACCCCAAAGTTCTAGGCCCCCAAGGCTTAGAGAAAAAAACCAATTCGACGAGCGGGCGTAATGTTAAGCCTGTCAGGACAGGGTTTTGTCAGAGTCGTATTATTTTGAGCCAAAATCGAGGGTTCGTGATTCCTTATGTACGGATTCAGGTTTACCGTTTACCACACTTTCAGGAGGTCTTGGCACGCGACTCCAAGATCAACATGATGGTCCTTCCGGAGTTTTGGCTTTGGGCAAAAGAGTCCCTCAATAAACTTAAATCGTTGCTACATAAGGTTGTAGGGTTTTGCAGGGTTTGAGGGCTTTTTCGGCAGGGTTTTCTTTTAGGGCCTTTGGGTTTCAGGTTTCGTTTGCAAGTGTTTAGGGTCTGAGGTGGTTGGAGTTTGTTGGGGTGCCCTAGGGCTCCAGTTACCTAAATAGTAGGTTACCGGGGTACATAATATATGGTTCGTAACCCTAAACCCTAAACCCTAAACCCTAACCCACTATTTAGGTAACTGGAGCCCTAGTTTAGGGTTCACTCCTGCCGAAGTCCTGGGCCTGGGGCTTGCGCTCTGTGGAGTTTGGGTGATGCGCCGGAGGGTTTAGGGGTTAGGGTTTTGGGTTCAGGGTTCTGGGTTTAGGGTATAGGGTGAGTAAGAACCCAGACCATGTCGCTGAAGTGTAAAGCACTTGAGTCCACAAGCCGAAACCCAGAACGTGAAGGGCTGCAGCATTTTTCTGAATACTTTCCTTGTGTTATGCCATTCCTGCAGATACCTTGAACCCGAAATGCTAAATTTATTTGAACCCTACTGTAGGCCTTCGAAACCACTACCGGAGAGCATATAAAATGAAAGCACCAACAAGCCGTGGTTTGGCTTTCGGGTTTCTGCTATTAGGTCGGCTTGCTCCTCGCAAGTGTCTCGACGTGTAGCACCAAAAACCAACTGGTTTCAGGCATTTCGCACTTCCACGTTGTAGGTTGCGAGCCGTTTTTGCTAGCGATGATGTCCAAGGAGTACACCGGCATGTGGATGGTGTGCCAGTTCTTCTTGCGGAACATGCTTCCCCCGGACCTCGGCGCCGCCTAACACGTCGAAAACAGGGTTGCTACATACACGAATATAGCGGCTGCTATACGGGATCCTTCAGGGTTGCTATCGGGGCTTGTTCAGGGTTGCTACAGGGTATCTTACAAGTCGAGAAAACATGTTTCTGGTTTTGCTGAGCGGATCGGAACCCTCGCCCTGAGCCTTCCATTGTAAAACCCAAAGCCCATTTCGTCCCACATCATAACGCCTCCTAAACCCCGATTCCGCGCACATACCCTTCTGCCCCCTATAGAGCCCGCGTCGTCCAAGCAGCTCAAGAGGACTATGTGTGGTTCGTTGCCGCCTTCGGAAACTGGGTGGATGGAGTGGCTGACATGGTGGCAGAAACTCCTGCTTCCCGTCTGTAATACGTAGAATCATGTAGAAAACGGTGACTTTCTGTTCGCCATGTCTTCATTTGCGTCCTGTAGTTAAGCGCCTGGGTTAGGGATAGTCGGGCTAGTTGCTTTCGGTCTTTCCGTCTCTGGTTGCCTTCTTTCCTTAGTCTAAGGAGTCTAATGTCCTAGCCACAGGATAGGGTTCACTGCTTAGTGCGGAAGGATGCGATAGAATCTGGGCTTGGTAGTAATCAACCCTAGAGGAGCCCTTATACAGAACCCTCATAATCTCATTACAGTAAGCCTTATTGCAGTAACCATGTCTTGCGGGTGCCGGAGCTGCCAAGAGTCATCGGAAGTACTGACTACGCAAGGAATGCCCCTGCACTGCCGACCAACTGCTGCAGGCAGGAGCAGGACTCTTGGGATCCTCCATTAGTACCCTTTTTGCCGGTTTTGCTTTGGGAATCGAAACTGAGCAAAACCGACGAACTAACCATAGTAATACTGATAGAATTGAAACGGAACGGAGCTACACTGACTAACTAATCATATGTAAGAAGAAAGCTTGGGCTTCCAACTTATCAAGCCTGTATTACAATTGTTAATACTAATAGTGAAATTATACTCATGTCATTAAGTATTAAAAAATGAAACTATAAATTATACCCATGTCATGAAGGGGATATGGGGGAGCCGAGGGCTGATGGTCAGTGGGCGCTCGCCCATTCAGCGCCTCAACTCCCCACACGGCCTCTCTGGGCGACCGCTCATAGACATCGCCGATGACTCCGAGCCGCAATCGAAGACGCTTCGGGGTTTGGGGGTTTAGGGATTAGGGTATATAGGGTTTCGGGGTTTGGGGGTTTAGGGTTTAGGGGTAGCCCGGATGCCAAAAAAAAAGGGTTTTTGAATGCGTTTCCTGAGATGTGAGCTGGTGGCTTTGCAACAAAAAAGGGTTGTTGTGCACACTTGAGCTTCCATCCCAGGAATACGACCTTCGTTGTCAGCAATTTGGCAATGGACAGGGTGCATGCGATGTGCTGTGGACAGGATATTTCTACGATTCGCTTTGGCACTTGGCTGGTATACTTCACACCTACCTAATCGAGCAGAACAACCCCCTTTCATCACTCGGGTCTCCTGAGTCGCTTGAGGGCTTGTTCAACTTGTCTGTGCACGTCGATTACCTGGGTTTGACAGGCCGGGTGCGGCAGTTCAACAGTATCGAGCCGACCACGGAGCCACCTTCCTACGGTGACCGTGATGGCGTGCAGCTCGTGCGGCAAATCCAAGGGGGACGTGGGAATGAATTCGTCGAGCTGGCTCTCCGCACCAGTGATGGCATTGCCTGGTATACGGATTTGATATGGAGCCCAAGTGACAGCAGCAAGAGGGTGCCCTGCAGCAGTGGGACATGTGACCTGACTGCTGCGTGGGTTCCTTCGGACCGTATCAGCGCATGCTTCCCTGGGACCGTGTTCTCGGTTGAGCTCGGTTGCGTCTCTTGCGAAGCTGGAAGATTTGCTTCAGTAGGCATGTTAGAGTGCGAGCCGTGCAATGTCGGCACCTTTGCCAACGAGAGCAGAATGGATAGCTGTCGTCCATGCAGCGCTGGAAGCTTCAGCAACGTCCTAGGCGCGGACAGCTGCGAGACATGCACCCCAGGGTTCTACGCAAATGAGAGCTCCTTGACGTCTTGTGACACGTGCCCTGCCGGCCGTTATGGGCCTCAGAGAGGCCTGGCAGAATGCGAAGAGTGTCCATCTGGAAGAACCACTGCATTTTCTGGGGCCATTACGCAGGATGCATGCCAGTGCCAAGGGGAGCTGTATCAGGGAAGGTGCGTAGTATGTGTCGGTTACACTCGCTACGAAGCGGGCCAATGCATCGCATGTGGACAGGGGTTGATTTGCAATGGCAGTCGCACTGCAGATATCGAAACTAGGTGGCACCTTAGACCTTGGAATCCTTTTTCAATGCCCCTTATGGTTGTATAGAGGTAACTATTCAGAAAAAATACTTTTGACTAGTCTTTTGACTGCCCTAGCCCGAAGAACATCTAAAAAAGTTCAACCCAGGAAGCCGGATACTTTAGCGAGGCTACCGCTTCTTGTCAAGCTTCAGAGATCGTTTACGCACCTTTCTCTGCTGGGAGTGATCGGATTTGTTCTTGTACCACTGCTGCTGCTGCTGCGCTACTTGTAGTAGAAGTAACTGTCGCCGTCATTGGAGCAACGGAAGTAGTAGAAGTATTGGTAGTGCTTTCAGCAGCCATAGTTGGAAGTGCTTTCCTGACCTTTTAAACAGTTGTCGAGGCTCCCTTCAGTGTCTACAAGTGCCTTCCGCCAGATTTGTGCCCTGGTGGTTTTCCGGGAACCTGTGCTGACGAGCTCGAGGGCGTTCCTTGCACTCGCTGCCCAGACGGTAAAGCCTGGGACAATGTCGAACGCTGCACAGAATGCACGCCTCTTGGCTCAGATTTCAAATCCCCTCAAAAACTCAGAGGGTGCATGTTTGGTGGTTTATGTGACGGTCGAACTTGAAATCTTTTCAAGACGATGAGCCGACTTCCAAGTCGCAGAATCTGATTTCAGGCCACTGAGCATTTTCGGCTGGATCACCGCCGCCGTGTTCGGGCTGGTTTCGGTGCCGATGCTCTACTACATGATGAACATGAAGCAGCCCGCAGAGGTTTAGGGGGCATGCGCTCTGACTTTCACGAAATTGCAGTTGCGATAGGACCAGTCCTGGGATCGAGCTGTGAGCGAATGTGGGCTTGTAGCTTCGGCACGTAGCGCGTCGGGCACGGCTCCATGCCACAGGATGCATGGACCATGGACCAGCTGAGGCAAACCGCCAAAGCCACAACGATGCTTGCAACCTCGTGTGCGTTGGCCATGACCATCAGCATGATCCAGAGTCTAGCTTGCACCCAGGGGCTATTTCAGCCTCTTGTATATCTACGAAATTTCTGGGTCATCGTTGTAGTGACTTATAGTGCTCAAACAGGGATGATAGGTTGCCCGGTGTGGGGTAATTGATAAGGACAAAAACGTGGACAACCCTAGATCCGCCAAGGCCTAGATCGGAACACATGAGCCTTGGAAGCGTGTGCCATGTGTTTTCAATGCATGCAACGCATCCCTAGGTCTCTCATGTAGCTATAGGGGCCCAGAGAATTTGCATCATTTTCCTGAAGCACACCAAAACTTGTCCTCTCATGTTTGACATGTCATGGCAGCCCTGTCTCTATGTCGTTCTCAAGTTGTGTGGTTGATTGCCCGGCCTGCAACCTGCGGCGTTCAGGGTGTTGCAAGGTTTGGGGTAGTGCTGCTGCGACAAGGAGAAGCTGTAGACAGGGTATCAGTGCAGCTGAGCAGAATGACATGTTGAGTTTCCAGATAACTAGGAAGAAGACAACTTGAGGCATGTCAAATTTCCTGCTATTGCTACTATGAGCCACTATGAGTGAGAGTTTCGAGCATGATGCCGGAAGACAGACAAGCAGCCGCAGTTCCAAGACTGCTCCAGATAACAGCGACAGATGGCTATCAACTTAGACAATCAGCCTCTCGACAGGAATTTAGATTGCATAGTATGCACTCGCACTTTTCCTCTCTAAAATCGTCCAAGCGAGTTCGCTTTCAGCATCCAGGGTTTGATGCTTAGTGTTGCCAGTCTCCTTTACTCTAAACCCCAACTCAAAAGCTCTAAGCCCCAAAATCCCTAAACTAACAGTTATAACCCTACATCCAACTACCGTATTTGTAGCCCCCAGCTCTACAAACCAGTAGGTTCTGACCGCTTACTTATCATAGGGCTGAGGGTGGCAAACGGTACGTTATTGGATCCCCACTGAAGCTCCGAAAGCCTTCCGAACCCTATCTCAACACTCGAAGCCCCATATATTATAACCCTAAACCCTTAAACCCCTAAAGTCCTATATAATAGGCCGACAACCTGAAAAGCTTAACCCTCGATCCTGATACCCTAAGCCTCGCAAGCCCCCAAGAGCTCGATCCGGTAAGCCTAACCCTATGGGGTTTAGGGTTTTGGCTTAGGGTTCGGGTTTAGGGTTTGGGGATGTTTAGGGATTTAGGGTAGGGTTTCCGGATTCTCCAAGGAACGTGGGAATTGTGGGCTACATTTCCTTCTCGTGGCCGTCAGAGCAGCTTGGAGAATCTGTGGTTGGGTGTAGGGCTTCGAGTTTGTTTAAGGTTTGTACAGGCACAGAGTTCTAAACGCGTTTTGTTTCTGAGTGTTTCTCTAGGGTTTCCAGGAGGTCTGTGGGGATCAAGGCGCTTCGTCCTCTATCCTCCGTTGGGTTGTGCAGGGGTTGCTGGGAAGTGGCCACCCAAAGCTGCGAAGGCTGCAGTGGATGTTTGACCTCATGAGCATCTTCACTCTTGATCTCCAGGCCGTGGCATGGCTCCTTGGGGGACCGGGTTGCCGGATCATGCGCGGGTTGATGTGATACGGTTGATGATATAAACCCTTCATTACCCATAATCAGGAATGTACCATACCTTGGGATTCCTTTGCTATGTTTATTTCGGTCCGGACTATGTTTGTGATGGTTTCTGTTTACATTGTACCACAAATTGGGGTTCGGATGTTTTTGTGCTGCTTCGGCCATATTTGTGTTTTCCGTTCTCGATAGCATTTGAAGCATCAAACCGAACCACATTACATATTGCTGCCACCTTATGGCCCCTGGGTGCGCCCTTGTATGTTTGTGCACAGTGCATCTGCGTCCCACTGGTCGAAGCTTACCTTAGCTGCGCAGACAGGTACCACATGGGCTGCGGCTGGCGATGACGGGCTTTGAAGGCATTGCTGGCTTGGTTACCTTATTGCCTTTCTTGAATAGTGGTGGATGCTCTGCTTGTACATGCTACCATCATGCTGTTGTGCATCAGCAGCTGGCTCAGTGCTTGATGGTGCGTCTTTACGCTAGGCTTCTAGCCTAAGGAACTCATTAAATTAATGATGCTAGAAACCTCAAACAGATATGATGTCAGCTATATGCATATATGTATGGGGCCTTTTTAATATATGTTTTCCCTAGCTCAAATTGACAGATAGTCCTGCCTGATGTAATGTTTGCACATACACATGTGTGGGGCTCTTACCATTTTCGAAACTGTCAGCTCGTGCTGAGTGATTGCCATGGAGTCGAACCCGAGAGTTGACTCTGCTTCTGCACCCGAAAGTTGCCCTGTGCTTAAAGCTTGGTCTAAGAGTGCTTCGATTATGTCACAGGTTTGCAAGGCCAAAAAGCTTTTAGTGCTTCAGCACGGCAAGCTGGACCGTGCCACACTTGTGGACAACATCGAGCTGCTCTCCCCCCTCCTGAACCACATCGGCAGCATGCCTACAACAAGTCTTTCTAGATTTGGGAACTTGATACATCGATCTGGGCATGTATACGTACATTGCATCCTTCCTGAGGCTTGCGACCATCAGTGCATGTACTGGCGGAGTATGTTCAGCGCTTCTATCTGGGCTACAGACCAATTCACATGAAGATGAAGCAGGGTTCCGGACTGAATGTTGGCATTTGCTTGCTAGGACTTATAGCATGTGCATGTAGTGGTAACACATATGTGTCATGCCGAGGTCACGAAGTACGAGCTGAAGCATGGCTTTTGAGAAGGCTTATAACAATTTTTGCCAAAATGGCAAAACGTCCTCATGCTCCTCGCGACCCGGGTGTTCGGGACCTTTTTCGTGCATCAGGGATCCCAGTGCCACAGAGTGACTAGACTACAAATATACATGAGATTAGTCCGAAGCTCTATAATATAACATATGCCCCTATCCATCCCAGGTGCTGCTTCGGGAAGCAATGCTGGCTCCGACTCGGAGTCCTTGGTGGGGGAGGGTAGTGGAGAATCTGAAACAGAAGAGGAATGCGATGAAGATGTAGAGCTTGACGTGGAGGATGAAAATACGATGCAGGATGAGACTCCAGCAGCAGAGGAGGAGGCCAAATGCTGGATCATAGCACACAGACGAGATGATCCTACAGGTGAGGTCGCAACGCAGAATCCCACAGGTGAGGCAGCACAACAGAATCCCGCATGTGAGGTCGAGGCACAGCAGAATCCCGCAGATGAGGTCGCAGTGCAGAATCCCACAGGTGAGGTCGCAGCAAAGAATCCCGCAGGTGAGATCGCAGCACAGAATCCCGCAGGTGAGGTCGCAGCGCAGAATCCGGCAGGTGAGGTCGCAGCACAGCAGAATCCCACCCACGAATCGAGATGTGCTGGCTTGGCTTCAGTTGATCCTCAAAAACCCATTGCCCCTAGGCTTTTATGGAATATCATGCAATTGCATACTAGCCTGTTGGGTGTAATAGTTCTGGATCCAGCTTATGAGTTTGCACTGTGCCATTGAGGCTGTTACTTCTGAGACTTCAAAGCCAATGCTGACTCTGCCCATTCCAAGCTCTCCAACTGCATTGGATCGATGTGCCGAAACCTTATAAACTACGCAATGCCCTAAACCCTCAAAGCCCGAAACCCTGCAAACCCTTTAACCCCAAACCCTTACCGCTAACCTGCATTATCCCAGGTCGAGCAACCTCGTCCGCAGCTTCGGAATCCTCGACCATCGTGACTCCGCC